ATTTCTTGAATTATCTGGACAAAAGGCACGATGTCTCTGAGGCTCCTGCTCACCACTAACACCTGCAAAAGCATTTGTCACACTCACTGCCCTCTGCTGGGTGTCATCACATGCCCTCCTCACAGCTTGGTCAACACCACACAGTTGGGTGCTAATTTGGTATGTGCAAAGAGCACCTCAGTTTGTATTTTGCTAATTCAAGAGGTGTAGAGAAGCACCTTTAACTGCATTTCCTTAGCTGCTGTTGCCACCCCTGTATTTACACATTTGTGACAGGACTTGATTCTTAAAGTCTTCTCACTGGGAGCAGTGCTGTCCTCTGTGCGATTCTGTAGCAGTCTCCTTTTACTGTCACAATTTACTTTTACTGTCACGATTCACTTTTTAAAAATTAAACTTAGCTGGATGCAGAGGCACATGTCCACAGTATCAGAGACTCAGGACATTGAAGCAGGATAATCCTGGTGTTGAGCCCAGGACTCCAACACCAGCCTAAGCAATAAAACAAGACTCCATCTCAGAAACAAACACTCCAAAAGAATTAATGACATTTGTTACGGTTTAGGAGGTGGGGTCCCATTGGAAGAGGTCATGAACTTGGAGGCTGCACCTCCCTTCCCTGCTCCTCCTGGACTCTGCCTCCTGAGCACCATGAGGTGAGCTCTCCACTGCCCTGCTGGTTTTCCGTGGGAGCCAACTGACCAAATTGCAGTTGGCAGGTATTTTGTGCCAGCAAAAAGAAAGGCAACTAAGACAGAGTTAACAAAATATTAAGCTCAAAGTACAGAGCTAGTGCTCCCACCCTGCTCACGGTTTCCTCTGTCATTACAGCTTGCATTAGGGTGGTACCTCCGTCACAGCCAATGAACCAACACTGACATATCGTTGACTAAATCCATAATTTAAGAGTCACCTTTTGGTGTCATGTAGTTCTAGAGGCTATGACAAAGGTACTGTTAGAGAAGGGCTCTGTGCCATTAAAATCCTGTGTGCTTCCAATTCATCCCTCCTCGGTGAGCCCTTGCAATCACTAATCTTTTTACAACTGTCTTAGTTTTGCCATTTCGAGAATGTCGTATAATTAGAATCCTACTGCACATAGCTTTTTCAGACTGCATACTTTTCAGACCAGCTTCTTTCCTTCAACAACATGCATTTAAGTTTCTGCCATGTATTTTCATGGCCGGATGCCTTATTTCTTTATATTGCTGAATAACATTTCATAACAGAATATACCACAGTTTATCTATTAGCCTACTAATGGCTATCTTGATTTCTTCCAGGTTTTGGTAATTACGTGTAAAGCTGCAATAAACATTCATACTCAAATTTTTGGGTGGATGTAATTTTCAATTCATTTTGGCAAATGCTGGGTCATATGAAAAAGCATGCTTTTTGTAAGCCATCAACAAATTGTCTTTCAAAGTGGCTGTACTATTGTATTTCTACCAACAATGAATCAGAGTTCCTCTACATCCTTGCCAACATTTGCTGTTGTTAGTGTTTTGAGTTTTCATAAGCTTATTTAACATCTGTATCTCTTCCTTGGCAGGGTATCTATTCCAATTTTTTTCCTACTTTGTAATTGATTTGTTGTTTGCCTGGTGAATTTTAAGAATCCTTTGCATATTTTGGATACAAATGCTTCATCAGATATTTCCCAATATTTTTCCTTGTGTGGGCGGTGCCTTTTTATTAAGCATCTTTCATGTTTAGACTTTTGCATTGAGATACTTGTAGATTTTACATGTAGGTGTGAGGAATAATTCAGAGAGACCTCATGTACCATACACTCATTTTTCCCAGTGGGAACGTCTTGCAAAACTACAGTTTTGCAGTGTCACACCAAGACACCAATACTGACACAGTCAAGACAGGGACACTGTCACCAACACAAACTCTCCCATGCTGCCTCTCACCTTGGGAACAGTCTACCTTATCATTAGAGATCCCATTCTGATTGAGTGTGTCTTTCGCTGCCCCTGCTGTATGTGGACATCAGATCCCAGGCTCCTCAGCTCTCCAGTGCAGACTCATGCCAGAGACTCTGCAGGTAGAGTTCAGGCCTTGGAGCGTGGACTGGCACTGTGTCCTCAGTGCCCCCTGCTCTGCTCAGTTTCCAGCCTCCTGGGGTAAGCAGCTCTCAAGCTCTTCAGTGAGCAGATGGAAAACTGAGTTATTCTGTATTGATTTGGCTCCTTTAGAGAACCCTAACCAATACAACTGACATTGGGTCCTGTCTCCTCGTGTACGGATGGAAGCTCAGATTGAAGCATGTCATGTCCATGTAAGATGGAGGTAAAAATGACCAAAGTGAGAAAATACACTCTGGACTCTTGCACGTCTGCTAGCCTGGTAGTGGCAGAAGTATGTGGCTTTAAGCACGGTGGCAGTGTGGTGGCCCATCTAGCCATTTGCAAGGCTGAGATCCTGCTGCTGAAGGGTCTACCTCAATGGCCTTGGTGGCTTTCCCTAGGGTTTGGTGGGCAGGAGTCCTGCAGGGACTTTCTCATCAGGTCTGGCTTTTGTTCTCAAACGTTTAGAACCTCAGGTCTCGCTTGCGTCTCTCACAGTTCTCCCAGTGATCTTGTATCTGTCCATTTACCTGTTTTATTTTGATCACACAAACTGGGTAAACCAATATAACCACTAGTAATATTAACTACCCCACCCATATCCGTTTGTTTCTTGTGTGTATAATTGACTGAATCCATTCTTCTTTCTTGGAACCAAAAACCTTGACTAAGAGACTAAATTCTCAAGTCTCAGAAAAGTATTAGCAAATGAAGCAGTGAGCTGAGACATGGAATTAAACAGGCGGTGACTTAGCTGTGATATATAATTAATAATCTGTTTGCCCTAAAACAATAGCAAAGATGATCTTTCCCTGTAGGAGGTAGGAAGTGCAGCTGGCTCATGGTGATGCCTCTTAAAGTGTGCTCTCTTGGCTGCTGTGGGTCTTGGGTCTCCACCAGGTAGGTTCAGCAACTGGGAATCTTTAGACACCTTTTCGAGATGTTAATGGCATCATTTAATGTACACTGAGCCTAATAAGATGAATTTTGGATTTATGTTGTTACTTTTTAATTTCAATATTTTAGATAATTGATTTTTTTTTATCGTATTGTATAAAAGCTGTGACAAACCAGAAATACTTTTCTAAAAGCCCTTTGTCGTGCTGAGTTTGGGAAGCTCTGATTTTAGGAATCCACAGTCCATGGTCTTTCCTCAGCTCCATCTTCAGGTGCAGACGCACGTGTGTCACCTCAGTCCTTGCATGATCTCCAGGGAGTGAGCTCATGCTTTTCAGCAATTAGCTGCACAGTGAGGGCACCCAAGCAATCTGAACATCAACCCCTTCCCCAGTTGCTAATCTACCAATAAGGAGCAAATTTAAAACAACATTCAGCCTACAGTTTTCCCTGCTGGTCATGGCACATGACAGGTCAGCACTCTGGTAGCCACCCTCTCCCTGGAGGATTCTGGGATCTTGGCCCATGAGCAGCCATGGATTCTACACTTCTAGGTCACATACTCTTAGGCATCATCCCTCAGGGCACAGGAAGCAGGCTAATGTGCTGGAAAGTTTCCAGAGGCCCCAGGATTCTGTTCCAGTTCTGTGTGACTATCTTCATTCATTCCTCTCAGCCTTCTCACAGGCAGGGTGCAGGCAACCACCACGATACTCACGCGTCTTACAAGTGTGTTGTGTGTGACCCAGCAGCACCTGGCAGAATGAGCCACAGAGGATGGTGCATTGCTTTCCTCCCCAGCAGCTCTGGATCTCCTGCCCAGGATGGATGCTACCACGTTCTTATCCCTGTCATCATACATTAGCCCCGCACACCCAGTAGGTCCTCAGACAGCTTTGCTGGAGGAACAAGTGGCCTCCAGCTGTCCCGAACCCTACAACCAGGTTGTTATGATTTCTATACTGTGGCAACTTGAGAAGTCTAGAAGCTTAACTAAGTGAATCAGCAGCTCCCCATCCTGGGTGTAGAGGACAAGCAGTTACCTCTAGGATATTTTTCACTGTATCAATTTGAGAAGGTCAGAAGTTTAAGTGATTCAACAGGGGACCAGGATCACTAGTTTTAAGCATCCTCAGCCTATGCAAGAGGGCAGGCAGGGGGTTTGAGTGCTATACCCACCCAGGGGAGCAGCCTGCATACAATAAAAGACAAATGAGGAGGCCAGGGGTTTAGCTCGGCGGGGAGGGGGGGAGCAAATGAGGAGGCACTGATTGCTGCTTCTTTGGAGGAGTTCAGGGTTTCACTTTCGGCTTAGACGTCATCTCCTGGGTTCTGGCACATACTGTTAGGCTTCTGCCTGGGACTCTTCAGCCTTCCATAGTTGGTTCTTCAGTGTTCTGCTGTAGCCCCTTCGGCTTCCTGATAGGGACCTGCACAGGGCACTGCCAGAAGCTCTGGCTGGATACCCCTCAAAATACTCCCTTGGCTTTGAACATCATCGTTCTTGCCACTTTCTGAAGCAGTCCTACAAGTCCTCTTCTGTGTCTTCGGTTGCATTGTCATGGCTATGTCGGGGTCTTGTATCCATCTAGAACATCTGTCTTTTGTGGGCATTCTTTGTGAGGGAGCCGAAAGTTGCCTGGTGCCTGATGTGGTGAACAGGTGGGTGAGGTCGCCCCACAATGGTCACGGGCCTGCCTCTCACTGCATGGCGCCTGGCGACAGCATTCACTGCATTTCTGATCACATCTCATAAAGACAGTCATGAGAGGACTTCTACGACTGCTTCAGGAAGTGGCAAAATGAGTTTCTGAATCAAGGAGGAGTATTTCCAGGAGGATTAATAGCAACGTGTCTATTGCTGCAGTAAACATTAACAATTTAAATATTCACCATGTTATTTCAATCACCTGCTCCCTCTCTTTGACCTTTGAAAGGCACCATTTGTTGGGGAAAAGGTCAGGTGATGTCATTTCAGGTTGGTAAATACAAACACACACACGGAAAAAAGTGTTAGCAATGAGGTGGTCAATTTGAGAAATTTATATTCAAAAATTTTCTTAAGAATACACATAATTTTACAAGATCATTCATCATAGCACCAAGCCCAATATTCCTTAACAGAAAACACTCCAATAACAAATACTCCAGTTAATTTCCCACGGGTATAAATTATGCAAATAGCCACTTACATCTTCATTTACAATAATCAATAAATAAGAGTGCACATTCATACAATTTTTTTTTACAAAGATCCTTTTTGTTTTTCTTACAAAGCTACACCTAAGTATATACTAAATAGACAAAATAATCCTGTACTACAAAATAACATTTCACTTTGTTTTTTCTTCAACAGTTCTCCGGCAGCCCTCGGTAAAAAACTTCACACACAGTCAATTAAGTCCTGCCATGACATTAAAGAAATATTAATCTGTTAATTGTGTCAACTCCCTCAGAATGAAACACCTATTACCATCCAATGTGCTGTGCTCCTAGCATTATCTGCAGCTTTAATAATCTGTCCCAAGAGTGTACAGGAGGGAGCAACCTTTTTTCCTATTTGTCTTTGGCTGATATTTTCAGCACCCAAACAAATAATGCTGGCAGAGTCATAAGGTCCATTTCAAGGGCAAGGAGCAGTTATCTTCTTCCCATGCCTGGTGTCAGGTACCACCACCAGCTCAAGGATCTTCCACACAACCCTGCTGGCCTTTGGCTCAAGGAATTTCATGTTGGAATGCAAGAGGCTTTAGTTCTGAGCAGAATCTCCATGCATTTTTACTTTGATTACTGCTAGGGGCAGGGGGAAAAGACTGGAGGGGTGGAAAGTTCCAGCTGTCTGTAACTATTTATTCCTGCAGCTGAACTTCTGAACTGGAAAGAAATTCCTCTGGGAAACTGCCTCCGAGGAGGCTGACTTAGAGAGACCTATTTAGTTCTGGGAGCCCCAGGAAGCAGATCTCCCAGGTTCTACTTCAAACTTTCAGCTCAAACCTTTTAAGTCAGACAGCTCAGACAGCTTTCTGCTTTACCAAACTCTTTGCAAAGGCACCTTTCTGTGACTCTAAACAGGACGCAATGTTCTATGCTTTGGAGTTCACTTATATACAGAAGTGCATTTAAGGAAATGGGTCACTTATTGAGATAACAACACAGCAGCAACAAGAAGCTATTGCTAACCTTTGGATTTTTTAAACCTAAAGAGGATTCATTGGAGGTCTTCTAACTTCCAACCCAGAGAAGTAAACGCACTATGCAGGTAAGCCAGAGCTGCAACACGGGTCCCTGGTGCCCAGGCCAGTGAGTGCTGTCTGCTCTCAGGACTACAAGGCACTACCAAGTTTCCTTTAAAAAGTGTCCTTAACCACTGCATGACATTTAGGAAAATGCGCATCTCATGCCTGTCCTTCCTCACAGTCTTATCTTAATGCTGTTGACATCTGCTACAGCTACAAGAATAGTGATTGTCACACATGGAATAATCCCATCAAGTGATTTATCTTTTTTAAAAGTTTTTTGATAACACTGATAAAGTTGTAATATTATTTTCAATTTGAAAGACAAAGAAGGATCCTCAACCAATTACGATTTAGGCACGTAACTCATGCTCTGCAGCCACCACGGTAAACATGCAGGTCTCAGGCCTTGCAGTGAGAAGCCAGCCTCGTTTCCTACTGTGTTGGAGGTGGAGAGGGCACAGGAGCAGGATGTACTGTGAAGTCACTGAAAACCTGCACATGAAGTTAGATAATGAACTGTATTGTTACAGGTTCTTTATAGGCAGAAACGCAGTTGGGATTCCGCAGCTAGAGGCTACCACATGGATTTCACGTGCTCATGAAGGAGTCCAGCAGCTTTGATGTGGAAGCGGAAGTCAGGTGCAGAAGTTGGGAGGAGGGAAGGATGCAAAGAAGGGGGTGCGATGTAACCAATAATCTTTGCCACCCATAACTTGCCACCTAGCCCAATGTCACCACGAATCAACTCTCGTAGGGGATCACTTCATTTTCTAAGTAGTGAAAATTAACATCAGAGAATCAGTCCTAGATTGCAGGTTCTGCCACTTACTAGTTCTAGGCTATGGCCTTCCTATCTTTCAGTCCCAGGCTTTCATTCCCTCCCGGGAGACTGTTACAAGGGTCAAGTGAGTTAATGCATATACAGTGACTTCAACTTCCTCTTGTAATACATCTTGCAGTAGAGACAAGGCAGCTGGAATCAGGTGGTGGACTGGAGAGTGGTTGGCAGAAGCCATGGAAATGCAACGTGGGGAAAGGAAGTACTCAGTGCTTGGAGAGAAGGGAAACGGACAAGAGGTACTAAGCAGTCTCCAACTTCACAAGCAGCTCACGGGGCTCAGTGGACAAATACGGGCTGAGCGTCCTCACTGCAAAGCTCAGTGAGGTTACTGTGCCCAAGATCACCTAGACGTCAGGTGACGGAGCTGGGGCTCTCAAACCTGCCCTGTTTCTAATCCCACAGTACCTCCAAGGAAGGAGGGAGGGCTCTTTTCCAGACAGTCCTGCTGGATGCCGTTAGACGTCCCATCTGAGTGTCAGGGTTTTAAATAAGTTAGCAGTGAGGTGGGAGCTACAGACTGTGAATCGTGTATATTTAATCACGACTTGGTCCAAAGAGCACAAAATACTGGTCATCTAGTTTGCACAGACAAGAATGGTTCCTGGCACATTGCTGGTCCCACCCCGGGCATGTTGGGTGGGAAGAACTGCTTGCCTGACAGGTTTTTATCTAGGTTCTCAGAACAAAGCTCTGAATACCACCAAGTCTGCCCTCCTGGCACTGCAGGGTCTGGCAAACCTCAAGAGTCAGCTCAGGAAGTCTGCTAACTTCACCAACTCGCTGAGAACCAGGAGCTCCCAGTTTCCGGGGCTGTGCCTCCTACGTGACCAAACTCATCGCAAGTCCCCTCCTGCACACAAGGAGTGAGAAACGACCAGCCTGAGGTCGCTGTGGGGCTTGTACCCATGGAAGCGCGGAGGGTGGCGCGCTCTTGAGGCTGCTTAGGGAATGGGCATCCTTCTGGGTGGCAACAGGAGAGCCATCATGTGACTCTCACGTTGCGGGTTCACTTCCACGAGCTGCTGGCTCGTTCCTGAGGCCGTGCCTGATGAAAAGCAGGGAGACAAAGGCCCAGCCAGCAAAGGAACCCTGTGCCTCATTCCCGGCTCTGTCCCACTGGCTAACAAGGGGACGGTTCTGCAGCAAATAAACAATACAGTGACCGCAGCACGGCCCCTCAGCCTTCCCCAGGTCCTGCCCTTCTCATGAATGCGGCCCTTCACCAATCGCTATCTACGCAAAGGTGGCAGCTGATGGCACCTGCAGGCCCGAGATGTTCCATCTTCCCCAGCTGCCACATCAGCAGGGAAGACGCAATGTTGGGGAAGCGAAACAACCTGCGTGGGCCTGCGAGATCTGTGTGCTGGATTCCTGGTGGAAACGTCACAGAGGATCTGAGGAGGCGGCTCTGTGAGGCTGTGTTGGCCTGAGGCCCCAGCACAGCCCACTGCTGGACGTGAGACGGGAGCACCACACAGGCGGCCAGGCGGGTCGTGTGGCACAGACCCCAGGAAGGGCATCTCCATACAGGAAGGAGAGCGACGCTGGGTCTCCCATCTCCGGCAGGCCCTCCAGAAATGGGGGAAAAGTGAGCTTGCACGAAAGAGCCCACGCCATCCGGTGGCACACCAATGACATACCCCCAGGAAGAGCACGCTCCTCACCGAGCAAGCCACGGCTCCTGTGGACACTCACAGGACACCTTTCTACACCAGGACCCTGACTTCTGAGGGAGACAAGGTCCACAGAGGCTGGAGTTTTGTAGAAAAATGACAGGAATGGCGATGGCCATCCCACAGTCACTGGCTGGCAGGGAGACGAGGGGTTTCTCCTTTCTCAGCTTTGGTTCCTGTTTTTGTCTTGTTTGATATGGGGGTTTTGCTATGTACCCTAGACTGGTCTTGAACTCAGGGGCTTGAGGGACCCTCCCACCTCAGCCTTCCTGTCTCTTGGAGAAGGTGCCAGATCCTCACATGAGCGCTGTGGCTGCCGATCCACCTGTGACTCACAGAGGCTGCCTGTACGGGCAGCCCCAAAGCGTCTGTGTTCTCAGCACGCTATGTTCACATGCAGCAGGCAGGTACTGCACGGGGAAGAGGGCTGGGGCGCTGTGCTGAACCCCGGGGTGGAGAAGCACGTGCAGCGCGAGCTGTCCACAGACAGCAAAGATACCTTCCCTGGTCCCCAGCCCCTGGGTCAGGTGTGGCCCAGCAACCCTTGCCAACCTGTAATCACCAACATGGCAAGACACAAACTTCTAGAAGGGAATCTTATCCAGGTTCCAAACCCAACCCTCTTTGTTTGCTGCCAGACACCAGTGCAGACTACCTGTTTCCTAAATAGAGGGCCTGCAAGTGAGCTGAGCTCGTTTACTATGAGGACCGAGGGGCAAAACCGGGGACAGGACCCTGGTGTCCACGCAGCGCTGAACTGCACCAGGTAACCTCTCCCACACTGCGTTATTGCGTTATTCAAAAGCACCGGGCACATCACAGCTCGACAGCACAGATGTGCCACACAGGTTCACAAACAGGTCACCAGAGCGGCGAGTCCCAAACTCACTGGCAATAAAGTTCAAAGGGGAGTCAAATAAGGTGCTACCCCGACTCACTTCTTCCATCAAGAAACCCCACAGGCAAGAAGAACAAAGCAATAAAAATTATACAGCCAGGAAGACAAAGTGATGGAAAGGAAACATCGCCAGACCTCAACCTCTGTGCTCCTATCCCATGCAGAACCAAAAGCTCCAACCGGGGTTACCGTGCACGGCAGAGGCGGGTGCAGCTTGACGAGACCAGATGCTGGCCGGTGATGAGGCTGCCTGCTCAGCAGCCCACACAGCGCAGGTGGACTCGGGCTCTCTGCACTCAGCCCTAGGGTCTGCGACTGCACAAAGGCACCTGCCCAACGGGGCATGTAGGAGTTAGAATCTGGCCTTTGTGCTTGCTCCTCAAGCTTTGCCCTAGCTCAGAGCTGCAGATGCCCAGAGAAACAGGCAAAAGGCGCCCTCTACCAGTCAAGCCAAGTGTTCATGAGTAGCTTCTGCCCAGAGGGAAACTTTTTTTGTTGTTCTTTTTTTGGGACAAGGTCTCTCTATGCAGTTCAGATTGCATATCTCACTTTGTAGCCCAGGCTGGTCTTGAACTCCTAAGGATCCTTCTGCCTCAGCTTCCCAAGTGCTGGGATTACAGGCATGTACCACCACACCCGGCTGGAACACTTTCTTTGAAAGTACTGCATAGGCTAAGAGGAACCTGGTGTGTTTCCCTTTCCCAGGCAGAAAACTCTTGAGAGATATACGAAGAAATGGAACCAAGTCCCAAAGAAAAGATGGGCAAATATTGATGCTTAGCGTTCTCCAAAGGCGAGTCCAGATCACCTGGTGACTACAGGTGACCTACACCTGTGTGATGCTGCACAGCTTTCTGATATATCACACTTAAACAGGGACAGACCCACAGTATCACCAGCCTCCGGAGAGAAGCATACAGGAAAGACAGAAACTGACACCAATCAAGAAAAAGAGGCTTATAGGAAACAAAGGTAGGATACCATCACTGCAGCAGAGATGGCCTGGAGCAAAGAGAATCCTAAATGTCCCCAGGGTGGAGGAAAACACCTGAGTCAGCAACTGGGGTGGGGGAGGGTACTGCGCTCCACCTGTGGGTCTACGCTCAGCCGCACCTGCGTAAGGCAAGGCCATTCCCAGTCACGCAAAAATCTCAAGATAATCACGATATTTACTCCCCATGTTCACCTTCTTTGGCTACTAAAGTATATATTGAGGAAGGGAGAAAAAGGCTGGAGGGAAAGAGAGAGAGAGAGAGAGAGATCTTAAATTAAGGAGACATTTGGATATGAAAAGATGAGCGAACCGGGCTGACAGGCCCACGAGAGTATGAGCACTGCACAGGAACAGACATCCCAAGTGCAGGAGTGGGACCTCTGTTTATCGGATTAGCTGGACAGCAGATGTTTCTAAGCTAATTCAAAGACAAGGCACGAGCATGTTATGTAGAAACGTGAGTGCAAATAGAGGAAGCAACAAGCTAAACGTGATCAAAGTGGTTACCTCCAGGGAATGAGACTTGGGGAACTATTAGTTCTCACTAAAAATCTTGTAGCATTTACTTTGCTTTATTTTCAAGACAGTCTAATTATGTAGTCCTGACCGGCCTTGAACTCACAATCCTCCCTCAGCTTTCCACGTTCTGGAATTACAGGTGTGTGCCATCATGCTGGGTTTGGAGTATTTATTTGTTTAAAAAAAGAGCAAGCAGTAGACTGGTTTTTGCAGCAGCCTTCTGTATTCAGCTTCTTCTGTATAAGCCTACACTCAAATGAGATTTTTTTTTTTTTCCAGAAAAATCAGTTTACTGCCAACCGGAACCAAACGACTCTCAGGCATCTTGCCAGTAGCTGTTTTAAAGAATATCACAGGTTGTAATAAGGGAGAGAAGCAGCCTGCAGAGATTTCTCTGAACAAGGTCTAGACCCATAAAATGAAACGATTCAGACTTGAATCAACTCTTCTTGGGCATCTAATTTGGACACGGACTGCGTGGTGCCCAGGGCTATAAAATATCACATACTCTTTATTATCTGTACCTTTGAGCTTTTGATGATACCAGGGAGCTCACTAATTAGCTCATTTTCTATGGAGTTCCTGGCCTTCCAGATGGAATCGCTCCAAGCACTCAACAGCTTTCTCCTCGGAAGGATGCAATTCTTCTGAGGACAGGAGGCTGACTACCATCACAAGACTTAAGGCCAGATTTTGGCTGTCACCGACTCAAATGGGCTATGTAGATTCTTTTTGGCCATGCCGGCGTCCCGTAAGCTTGCAAACCATGGTCTGAAACTGGCTTGCTGGGAAGGAATGAGGTTCTTCCCTTCCCTGTGAAGAATATTCCAGAAAGAACAGGGCACAGGTTTGAAGGTAAAAGAAACTTCCTCATGGAAAAAATACAAGAGCAAGAAAATGATAGATGGTCTAAAAGATGCTGGTTTTGTTTGAATGAGAATGTTTTGTCCAGCTGATTTATCGTTTTAGGGGGAAGTCATGGATGGGATAAAGAGTCTCCCTTTGAAAGTGGCAGTTCTGAACCAGGCATCAGGCAGCCTGGGTACTCGTGGCAAGTCAGTGTGACCTCAGTCAGCCTGCTTTGGCTCTCTGGGCTTGACATGACTGGACAGGATGACCCCTGAGGCCCTTCCTAAGAGGGGCCTGACCCACACTTGTGAGGGAAGGAAGAGAGGGAGGGACACAGTCTTCACTGACCTGAGTCTTAGCAGGGAAAGGCCGCTGGACGGACTGAGAGGAGGAGGGTGGGGGGCAGGAGAGACGCCTTTGGTCTGCCCAGAAGGCCTTTTAAGGGACCCATTGGGACCAAAGCAAATGATGCTGGCCGGTGCTCAGAGGGCATCCCGGGGCTGCTGTGCACAAGGCTTTCTTAAGCACCAGCCTGCAGGACCCCCGCTGGCTCTGGCTCTGGTGGGGGCTCATTCTCAGCCCTGTTCCTTCTGCCGATGCTGAGGCCTTTTGCAGTGCCCTGTGGGACCTTGAGGTTCTGCACAGGGGCTCTGCCAAGTGGGAGGGGGTCTCGAGGCCAGCCCCAGCCAGCCAGACTTCTGCTTTTAATGCATCGTCTAGACTGGCCCATCTCAAGTTTCATTCGACAGCAGCAGCGTCCCCTGGGTAGAGAAGGTTTGCAAATCACAGCTCTACCTCGATCCAATCAATGCAAAAGCAAATTAAAAATAAAAATGCATCTCTCTGGCCCAGCCACCCCTCCCCAAAGCTAGGGTGAAATAAACAATGTGCAGTGGCTTGAAACAGAGCCTTTGCTCTCTCCGCTGGATTCTCCTCTCCTGGCTGTGCTCACTGGGAACCGTCAGCTTCTCGCTGCCAGGTTTCACCACAGTAGGGCCGTGGACCCCATCTCCCTGCACACAAACACCCCATCTAGAGGAAAATAAGGCAGTTTTTGTCCGGGTGGGGACTCAGCCTGGAGTACCCACACTTTTTCATCATGCAGAGCCTCCACTGAGAGGTTCTTAGCTCAAGTTCACCCAGGACCTTAAAAATCTGCAAGTCCATGAGCTAAGCCCCAGGTTTTGGCTACGAGTGAATGCTGACCATCTAATGGAGCAAGGCACACAGGACAAAACCCACCTAAGGATTCAGCCACAAACCTGAGTTCTGAGCATCCAAAGAATAAAGCACGCTCCCGGAGCTTACAGAAAGGAGGAGCAAATACAAGAAAAAGCAAAATAGCATGGAGGCTACATCTGTTACGAGGTCTTCAACTCTGCAGAAGTCGCCAGATCCTGAACAAAAAAATAAAATGAAGGGACCCCACTCCTGATCGGGGTCCTGTCCTTTTTATTCCACAGACACACGTGTCAGAGTCTGATAATGTCCAGCTGTGGGAAGAGCAGCAGACAGTAGACCAGGAGCCAGAGGAAGAGGATAAAATACATCATGTCCGGCTGCTGGACCAGTTGTGTCAGGGAGTCACTTTGTAGGCTCTGGGTCCCCAGGGACTCGGCTTCTCCAGAGCTGCTGGGCTTCCTACAAAAGACAAGACAGGACGGCAGTTACTAGTGGGGTCTTCAAGAGAGTTATGATCTATGTATAGATGCTTCCCCAAGACTCATGTGGTCATAGGTGGGGCTTTTTGGGGGAGGTTGGAGCTAGGGTGTGTGACTCTGGGATTATGGGGGCGTGTGTGATTACTAAATTAGTCCACCGATTGGTTTAGCATAGTGGGTCATGGGAAGGCCCACTCTGAGTATGGATGGCACCACCCAAAAGGCAGGTAGCCTGGAAGGGACAAAAGCTCAGAGAGGCTGCTGCCTGCCTGCCTGCTCTGCCATGGACTGCTTTCCCTCTGCCATGCTCCTCTGCCATGCCTACCTGCTGTGGAGTCAGCCAACTACGGACTGAAACTTCTACAAACTGAGCTGAAACAAATCTTTCCCCCTTAACCTGTGGGTGTCGAGTATTTTGTCTCAGTAATGAGAAAAGTAACCAAGACAGCCATACTCAGTGCTGTACAAAGCACCAGCCTGTATTCCATTCTCACCCCCTTCCAGGAGAGTGGAGGGTCCCTGACATGTCCAGCGAGGCCAGGCATTGTGTGTGCATGGACCCCAGGAAGGGTCGGTCACCTAGGTGGCCTGGGGTGCTTTCACACATATCCAGATTTCCTGTGTGGCTCACACAGGGGCTGTCAGCCTCATGTCACAGACAGGCAAACTTATGCCCATGGTGCTGTGACGTGTGCCAGGCCACACAAGTACTCTGTGAAAGAGCTGGCATGTGACCCAGGTCTCCAGGACTTTACATACAGTGACCTCTAAGATACACCACAGTGGGAGTCAGAGACTGCTCAGTCATCCCCAGTTATTCATAAGTCAGGGAGGGGACTTCAGAAGCCATCTACAGGAACAGAGAGTGGCCTGATGACAGATAATTTAAAACAGCCCTCGGAAATAAATATAGAAAGACATTTTCAAGTTTTGATTTGGGCTTTGGAATACTGCCTTTACGGGAACTATGAGATCTGATTTTGGTCAAGTGTATCTTTCTTTTTTACTTCACTGGAGGCAGGGCTTAAAATGACAGTTTGTTTCGCCTGGTAGATGGCTGGAAGCTGGCAGAAGGGTGCCAAGGAGCACAGAGCAAACAAGGCCTGAGGCTGCCAGGAAGGGGCACGGCTGTGTGTGTGGTGGGGAGCTGGGGTATCAGGCGCACAGGGCCACTTCTGAGTGGGGTGCGAAGTTTAGGAGACGCTAAACCTACTACAACACCCTGAGCTGGCGGGTGAGGGGTGGGCTGGCTTAGAGATCTGTGCCATCTACAGATCAGATGCAGAATCCTTCTTCCTTAAAACTGGATACAGAGAAAATGTAAATTATACTTTTTTTATTTCAAAGGTGGTAATACACGATGTAGAAAACCCATCTGCAGCTGTCAATTTTACAGTGTCTACTTTCAATGTCTCTGTCTTGTTGGAACTAAAAGTACCATTTTCCTATGGATACACGCAGCTTGATTGCAAGCTTAGTGGAATTAGTATTTTCATTTCAGGCTCTGGAGGCAAGCTTAAGTTTGCTTTCTCTTTCAGGAGCCAGAGAAATGGCATTCTTATGAGTTATGCAAAATTCAGACAGAAATTTCCAATTCCAGTGATCTGAATCCTTCCCAGCCAATCCAAATCCTTAGGGCGGGGGAGGCGGGAGAGCAGTAAAATTACGCAATGCCGTGACTTTAACTAGGATGGGGTCATCTCAGAATCTGAGAAATGGCCCTGGTTTCCCACGTGCTAAATGGGCTGTTTCATAGCAACTCAACATCATGAGACTACACGGTCTAGTTCCCTGGCAGGAGGAAATACTTTCATAGACATCCCGGCATGTTTGCATTCTCTCTTCTTGTCTGCTCTGATGCCATAAAACTGTAAAATCAGCTCAATGAGCTTCTGAGTATTGTACCTGCAGTGGGGACAAAACAACACGGTGGTCAGGGCTACCAGGTTCCAGGACACACCCAGCGTCACCAGGCCCTACCTCTGCGGCCTGGCTCTACCTTGGATAACCCTCTCGGGTCACCGCTCTGTGTAAACGCAGCGCACAGCCTCGCTGCCTGCCAGTGAAGTCCACGCCCACCTTCCCTTCCCACTCCTACTGGATTTCTATTCATTCTCTCCAGAACAAGTGTCTGCCTGTATTCTTCCAAGGCATGAAGACTGATCGACAAAGCACAGGTGAAAAACCGTCCCTTCCAGAAGGTAGGCAAACGTGGAAAGCCCACACGACTTAAAGCAGAACAAAGCTACCAACCTGGTTAACATTCGGTTTCTTCTGTCGTCCAGATCTGCGGCATTCCTCAACTGAACAAAGCTAATGTGGTCCTACAGTGAAATTTATAAACAAAACCCCGCCACCCAATTAGTAAAGATGGAATCTCTGAAACAGAAAACAAGATGATTTTAAACACACAAAGCCGTGAGCATGCCATGCTTTTCTTGATACTGTAAACATGTATTTCCTAAAATCAAACTGCTAAACAATAGTCAGGCCTATACCCACCCCCAGATGGTGACCGGAGAGCCCCCCCACCTTCCACAACCCCACTGATGCAGGGTAGTCGTGATGCGGGTCCAGGCTGTGGATCCTAGTACCCCTGGGACTAGGGGCTTGCAAATGTCAAAATGATGCTTTCTGCAGTGCCCTTATCCTATGGGATTCTTTTGAGTGTGTGTGCTGGGGAAGGCAGAGGGTTAAGGGAGGCATCTCGGATGCATTCTTCTAACAAAGAAGCCTTTGGACTTCAAAATCATCACTTCATTTACATCCCTAACTGGACATCCCACTGGAGTGTGATTAACAACAAGGTTTCAGTGTGTGTGTCTTCCATCCTAAGGTATAACTCTGCACCTCAGTCATTTCCAAGCTCTAAGTAGCGGGGAGGAAGGATGCAAAGGAATTGATTAGCAGGGCCTGAGTGGAGGAAGAAATTCACATACTAACCAACTCCAAAGATCTATTAGTATGACGTCGAATGTAAATACTGGAGTCGCTGTGACTAGTCCTGAAAAACAAAGACATGTTTTGAATTGGTGCCACCCAGAACTCCTGGCAGCTCAGACGTATGGTTCCCTGCAACCCACGTCTTCCACATATGGGTTCAGACAGGCGACAACTTCAGACTCAGGGACAGAAATGACAGGCTGTGACAGCATGCACATCACAGGAACATGCTCGGACCCTGAACTGGATATAGACTGCTCCCTCTGCCTGGCCAGGGTCCTTCCTGTTCCCAAGGCTGCTCTCTGCTTGTCTGGTCCTGGGGTGTGCCAGTGCCGCTCCCCACACAAATTTCTGAGGCCGACACAGAAACCCGGGATGGAGGCCAGAGTGGCCTGGGCCAGCATCCTTCCCGGCCGGTCAGCTGGCAATGCCAGCCAAGGACTGATAGCTCAGGTCAGTTTTCCTCCTCTGTAAAATGGATTGTCATTCCCACCCCACCAGCACTGGGAAGCGTCAGGCCCTGTTTTGCTGCCTACAGGGGAGCCTGATCCAGGCACCATGCACCCTGCAGAGAGGCCTCTGCTTCCTCAAGGTCCACAATGTGGCCTCTTGCAGGGGGGGAAAAAGACTGAAAGATCCAAGGTCAGGATTCAAACCTTCTGCGAGTCTCACATTGATCAAAGCACAGTAACACAGAAAGTGGGAAAGGGAAGAGAAGGTGCCCTCCGAAGATGGGTGCTTTTTAGTCAGAAAGGCGACACCCTGGGGGGAGGGCAGGGAGCCTCTGCATCACCAGGGGCTGCAGTGCGGGCAGCTCTCCCTGCCACCTCCCCCTCCTGCCCTGTGGCTCGGCCACGCTGCTGCTCACTGCAAGTCTCCAGCCTGAGGCTCCAGGCCTGCTGCTCTGCCCCTCGTGGGCAAGTCTGGTAACCCCGAGGCAGTGGGGCGGTGAGGGGGGAGCCCTGGTGCAGAGACTGAGGGTTCTGGGTGACTCTGTACCCCCTCCCTGTTCCATCCCATCCACTCCTGTACCTCATCTCATCAGAAACTCCAAATGGAATGAGGTCAGAGTGACTCTGGCTCCACCTCTAGGGCGGAAAGACATTACTCAAATACCTGGAAGGGACCCTGCAGTCGCCAAGGTCGTCTTCTAGGTCATCTGAGGACTGAACAATCCCAGGGGCTGTGTATGAGGAAGTGTCTACACGGTCCACGTGTTTCCTTTTTTCCTTTTTTTTACTGCTGGTTGATGATTCTTGCATTACCTTTTCTTCTAAACAGTTTGCTATGTTTTCTGAGTCTGGAAATTCTTGTTGGAACTGAAAAACAAAACAGCCAAAGACAAGCTGAATTCTCTGCCGGACTAGGTGACATCACCTAGCGTGCTCCACTGTGACCCAGGCTTGGTTTCCAGCTTGGCCTCTCACGGATCCCCGCCAGTGAAGCCTGCAGGAGAAAAGCCCACCCCACCCCAGCTCTTGCTCCTGAAGCGGAAGTGAAGGCCACAAACTGGTGCAGGGAAAACACAACAGGTTTTGCCGTCAGAAGCTCTGGTTTTACATCCTCATTGAGTCAGTTCTTTGGCCCAGAGGGACCACCTTTCTCTCTTCAAACCTCGCTTTCCTTGTCTATTAAATGGGTACAATAGTTGTCAGCTTCTTCCATTGGATCATAGAGAGCGACAGCGAGGACATCCCTTAAAGCCAAGAACAGCTGATTCCTCACACAACCAGCGCCCGCTCGGGCATAGGAAAGAGTCCCTGTGGCCAGGTTAGGCAAGGGTGCACAGGTGGTCCCTGAAGGCGGACAGGCACACATACACCAACCAGCGCACAGTTTGGGGGAAACACTTTCCCTGTGCCTTTGATGAAGCAGCTCGAAGGGCTGCATCCCTAGCATTTAGTTGGCAAAGAAGATTCTGTGCCCACAGTCACAACAGATGCATGGAACCCATTAGCAACGCCCTCAGTGACATCCAGAAGAGAGAGAATTGTGGGGCTATCTCCAACCCCTTAAGGATGGGAGACCCTGCTCAACAGACTGCAGAATAAGAAGATGACAGTGGCCAGCCAGTGACCCCAGGACAAAGCTTGGCCAGGAACTAAAGGGCTCCCAGCAAGCTGAAACCCCACGCCCTGTCCCATCATTACTGGCAGTGCTACCTTTCCTGAAAGGTGAAAGGGAGAGGGTATACAAGCATGTGTGTGTGCCACGAAGACTGAGCTCAGGGCCTTCACAGTGAACTATATCCCAGCCCTTTTTATTTTTTGAGACACAATCTTATTAAGTTACTGAATTGCCCAAGCTGCACTCAAACTTTGGAATCCTACCTCAACCTCGAAGTGTGCTGGGATTACAAAAGTGGGTGCCACCACACCTGGCTGAGGACTTAAAAACACAAAAATGCTAGAGGATAAACTTGTCATTTTCTAGTGTCCTTGGCTTGGAAACATGTTTTTTTCTTCTTTTCTTAAAGGAGGCAGGCGATCTGCAGACAGGCGAGTCAGAAGCGGTAGGTCAGAGCCAGGGGTGCAGGCGGGGAGCCCTGCCCCCAGAAGAGGCAGGCCAGGTGAATGAGGTGGTGTCACACCAGCGAGATGGATGCAGGGTGGAATTCTTCCTCTCCCAATGCCAAGATTCCAACCCAGGGCTCCTTCAACCCTGTCCCTGTGCTGGGCCCAACAAGAGCTCAATCTGCCACCTACTCTGCACCCTCCTTTCTGTCCTCCAAGAGTTTTTTGGAGCCATAATGATCCAGAGCATCTCCCCAGGGTCTCCATAGCCCAGCTTGGGGACATGAAGACCTGACCTACCCAGAGGCCATTTCTAAACCTGCTGGGCCTTTTACAGTGTCCTGCAGGATACAATGCAAGGAAAGGGGCTGCAGACCTTTGTCCCCTGCACTGGCAGGCACCGCCAGGGACCATCCTGGTCCCTAGGGTCCACAGATTACTCTACCAGTGCCCACTTCCTCCTGGGAGAGAAAATGCAAACCTAGTAAGCACCCAAGGAGGTACGCCTGGGTACTGCCCCACAGTCCTGCCTGGACAGAGCTGGAGGGCTACTGGGAGCAGGGCTTCAAAAGGAAGATAAGCGCTCTCCCTGTGACAGGCAGAGAAGGGTGATCCCGCAGGTGGGGGCACCCAGAGCAAAGCCAGCTGGGGGGGGGGAGGCAGGAGGAGGCCTGAGCAGGGGAGGCCAGGCTGGAGAGGGAAGAGTCCCAAAGGTCACACTATGGGGCTTGGACTTGATCCTGAGGACAGAGGCAGAGGAGTGATCAGGTGAGACTGGTGGTTGAGGGCTCTGCGGGCTGTGGAGGGCGCAGGACAGGGTGAGTTAGAGGGAAGGATGGGGGCGAGGGAGCGCAAGCTGCTCTGGGCCAGCTGCTCACACCCCACCAGTGGGCCAGCCTCTACCCAGAACTCACAGCTCCTGTCACCCTGGTCTCCTGGGTCGGGGTGACACCTCCTCCCAGTGAGCCCTGACATCCCTTTGCCGGGCTCCGACGCTGTGTCTGATGCCCTTCTCGCCCATGCGGCTCCTGGGTGCTTGGTACCTGGAGCACTAAGCAGCGAACACAGAATCTTCCTGGCAGTCCTGCGAGCGCTGCCCTTTGCCAGGCCACACCAGGGTACTGGGACCTCGCTCACCACCCGGGCCACCTCCCTGTCTGTACCTGATCCGCGAGGGGCAGAGCCAGTGTGGCCCGAGGTCTTCCTAGACTTCAAGGTCACAGTGGGAAGCTCTTATTGCCAAGGCAGCCACAGGAGCCACTTTGATTTCCTCCATTTGCTATCTCCACTCACTGCCCCTGGGTACCAGGCCGAGCTCCTCACACTCACTCTGTGCTCCCTGCTGAGCTCCTGGGCTCATGGAGTGACATGTAGCCAGCAGGTTTGTGTCCAGCTGCTTAGGTTCAATACTGAGCACCACCCTTTCCCTTCCCACACCCACTCCACACCCTAGGAGCCAGAGATCCGTGCCCTGTGCGCCAAAGGCCTTCAGGCGCCATGGCTGGAGACCAGTGTGGATGCGCCCTCTCTCCCCAGTGGCCACAGGAGATGAACGTGAGTGAGTATTCACTAGCAGGACACAGGTACCACTGCTGCTGCCAAAGGATCTCTGTTCCCGCCCTGTAAGACCTCACCCTCCATCTCCCGTGACCCTCCCAGCACCCCGCATGGGGCCACCGTTGGGGTGAGGCCAGCAAGGTGTCCAGGGTGCAAACTTTCAGGGGGCTCCCTTGCAGGTGCCAGCCTGCACCTGCCCAAGTGCTTCTGTGCACTGTGTGGTGTAGGCACTGTGGGCAATGCTCCATACCCCGATCTTGCAGAGAACCCCCTCTTCCCACACCCAGCAGGTCCCAGGGGCTTCAACCCATCCCATACCTGGTGGCTCTCGCTGTCTTCAGCCTCCCGCGGCTGCTGGTCCTCACACAGGGCAGGGGCAGCAGCTTCCGAGGCTGGTGTGACCGCTGTGGCATGGCTGGTGGGAGGCAGAGTCTGGCTGCTGGCAGTGGGGAGACCCTCACCCAGAGTTGAGAAGCTGCAGCTGCTCCAGGAGCCTTCGGTGTTGCCCTCTCCGGGGTCCATGTCAGGCAGACAGTCCTTGTCATTCACATCCTCCGTGCCTTCCGCATACGCCTCTAAAACTGCAGCAAGGGGCACCTCGTAGTGCGGGTAATAGAAGAGATCGTGGGGAATGACAGAGACCTTGGAGAGCGGGGGCGAGGACTTGAAATCCAGGCCTTCCTCGCTGGGACTGCCAACGGTCTCCAAGCTGATGCTGGCCCTAAGGGAACTGGAGGAAAGTTCTTTACCAAGCCCTGGGGGACCACGGGCGTCCTCCTCATCCTCACTGCGATGCCGGGGGGACTTCCTCTTGGCCTTCTCATACACAGGTGTCTCTGGCTTTCTATCCACAGGTGTCTCCTTCGGGGACGAAGAGTGGCTTGGAGATTTTTGCCCAGAGTCTGTGGGGTGCTCGTGTCTGTCACACCCTCCCTGCGGCTCCTGGGCAGAGTTCCCAGAGGCTGCCTCCACCGCCTCCTCCTTGCCAGTCGCCTTCTCACCAGGAGAAGTCTCACCCGAACCCTGGCTGGTGGAAGCAAAGTCTACCGAGTCGCTGACGAACCTCCTGGCTTGCGATGGGACACCTTCCAGATAGTCTTCCGTCCCCATCGGCTCTGCAGTCTGCAGTTTAACCTTGATCTCCATGGAGCTGGCCAGGACAGTATTTACCCCAAGGGGCTGGAGAGAAGGATTTTCTTCCCCCAGGTGGCCGGCTAGATCCTCGTAGGTTCCATTGAGGGAAGAAGAATCAGGGGGTGGCTGTGTGGGACTCACTGGGCCATGCGCCCCAGGGACCTCACCGGAGCCTGCCCCTGGGATCGGTGAGGCTGCCTCCTCCAGCTTCCTTTCTTCGGCCTCAGCCTCCAACAGTGCCCGCCTGCCCTGCTGCAGCAGCTCCCTCGAGGGCCTTGGGCTCCCTTCAAAGACAAAGTGTGGGCTGTAGAAAGGCTCCTGGCTGCCAGAGGGCTCCTTGTAGGCGCCATCCTCAAAATGGACAGTTTTCTTGGTGGGCAGAAAGCTGGGCCTTTGGCTGTTCCTTCTAGGGCACAAGTTGGAAGATTCAGGAGCAGGTTCACTGCTCGTCCCCAGACCCTCCTGGAGGACCTGGTCAATGATCTGGTGCACAAACTCCGTGGAGCTGTCCGACAGCACACTGCTGGCCATGCCCTCGGGCCGGTCGCACAGGAAGACTTTGGTGGGGGGCGGGTGGCTGGTTTCGTGGTTCACAGTGTAGGTCCGCTCTCCATTCTGCATCAGGAGGAGGACCTTGCTCTCCTGCTCAGGGGGCGTTTCTCGGATGCGGACAAAGGTGGACTCGATGGGAACTTCTTTATCTGGATCCATGAAATCTTCCTGCGGGGAAACACGGCGACATGAAACCGGAAGGGCAACCTTTAAGTGCAGTCCACATCCCCTCTCAGGACACAAGCACACACAGAACAGCCCCTCAAGACAAAAGCAAGCAGTGTCCCGGTGAGGATGGGAACCATTACAGAAAGGGCTGATCCTGCTGCGATGTGGAAACACCAGGTAAGGACAAAGGTAAATCACTGTGCTTTGAAAACACTGCAGATGAAACAAAATCTGAGTGTGTGGGGCTGGGGGATAGCTCAGTGGCTGAGCCCTTATGCAGAATGTGTGAGGCCCTGGGTTCAATCCCAGCAGGGAGGGGAGGGGATGGGAGAGGAGGAGAGGAGGAGAGGAGAGGAGAGGAGAGGAGACGAGAGGAGAGGACAGGAGAGGAAAAAACGCAAGGCAAGGACAGAGAAAGCAGCCTTTCTCAGTGAGCAGAAAAGCTCAGCTACTTCGTCCTAGTGAGCCGCTGCCGACATGGGCCAGGGAATTAGTGCTCCAGTGCGACAGACTGAACCCTAAAGGCTGCAAACACAGCACCCAATCTTGCCCTTGGCTAACGGCCCCACACTGAGCAGGGCTGAAAAGCAAAGAATGATTTTGGGGGTGCTACAGGCTTGGCTTCTAGCGCCCTGGTAGAGATGGCAGACTGACCTGACCCCCAGAGCAACTGGACCCAGACAGCAGATGGAACTGCAGCGCAGCTCAGATCAAGTTCTGATAAACCCAGAATGACGGGTGCTGCCTGTGGGTGCTTGTCTGGGAAGAGGCTAGGTTCTCTGTCACAGGTCAGCTGCGGTAGGTTTTTCTGCAAGGACTTGGTGTCCGAGGGGGGGCTGTGAGATGTGAGGGACATCTGAAGGCTGGAGCCTGGTGCAAGCGGTTACTGGGGGTGGCATCCTTGGCAGTGATGTCGTCATCACAGGGCCCCTGTGAACTCCCGAGGGAGAGTTGTTGTATAGTACGACTAAAATTTGGTACGGGAAAAGCTAGCGTGAGTTGTGGCCATCTGTCAACCCATTTCGCAGAGGAACGGAAATCCAGTGTGATTTAGGAACTAAAAGATGGTGAGGTGAGAAATTCAAGATCAGCCGGGGTCTGTCCCCGCTGGCCGAGAAGGCAGGCAGGCCCCGAGCGCACCAAGCACCCGCGGGATGTACACTGAGGCAAGGAAAGCAAACGTACGGCTTCCAGCTCAGGGAAACGCTCGAGAAACTGCGCCACGTAAGTCACGATGGACTGCTCATCTGGCACGTCAACCATGATGTCTGTGGAAAGAGAGAGGCTCAGCAGGACACACGGACACCGCTTCTCCAGGAGACGCCTGCATCTAGAGTTTCTTTCCCACTTGAGGGAATTTAGGCTGAGAGAGGGTGGGAGACTGGGGTCCCCCAGCTAGCTGGAGAACAGAGGAACTGAGTCCCTTCTTCTGGGGCACTGGGCACCTCATCTGCTGCTGCAGGGAGCCCCTGGGCATGCCAAGCTCACAGAGTAGCACCTCTTAAACACAGGTTCTCTGTCACTCTGTCTGGTTCTTGAGGGAATAATCTGAGTTGCACACAGGAAGATGTCCACTGCTTTGGCTTACAAAAATGATCATTCCCTGCTTTGTTCCACCCTGGTGGGACTTGGGATCAAAGTCTACCACAATCCTCCATCTCCTGCCCTGTTTTATTTTGAGACAGAGTCACTAAGTTACCCAGGGTGCTCTTGAATTAATAGTGATCCTCCTGCCTCAGCCTCCTGAGTAGCTGGGACTACAGGCATGTGCCACTGTGCCAGGGTAAAAGTGACTGGTCCTTAAACACCCTCAGTGGCCAGGTGGGTAAATTCCAGTGAGCCTATTAGAGGGAAAATATATAACAAAGACACTACTGCAGCATGGAAGATATCTATATGTTAAGCAAAAAGACAAAATTATGCATACACTGAATGATACCAACTATGTAAAAGATATTAAAATTAAATGCAATAGAAAAATATTGGGAAACAGGAAACGGAAATTTCTTCACTAGATTTTTCTGTGTTTTCCAACTTGGGACAGAAGGAGGTGGATCTGCAGAGAAAGATTAGAGGGGGAGACGGGGAGAGGGGGTCACCGCACCTTCTGGCTCCAGGAGCCTGGGGATGTGCAGGGTCTCTTGTGCAACTTGGAAAGCCCTCTCCAGGTTTTCCCGTGGAGACTCCTCCAGGGCCTGCTTCATGTCCACCAGGCTGGGGTCAATGGCCTTGATCACAGCCAGGAAAGCCAGCCCGCTCCTCCAGCTGCCTGCAAAGTCCTGCACCGCCACACCATACCTGGAGGAGAACACAGTGGCAGCCCCAGTGCAGGCTGGGATGCGGGCCGGAGATGGGAGGGCAGAGCGTGGCAGCCCCACTGCTCTCTGAGAGGGCTCAGGGCTGCCAACCTCACGCAGCACAGATGCCCTGGCCCCTGTCCATCTGCAGATAAACAGCACAGGAGTGGGAGGTACACATGCACAGGGACACAAAGACCTGAGTCCCACACAAAGAGCGACCAGCAGTACTGGTGATCTGGTGAACGGGGGAGCACAGTGCGACGGAACTGGACAAGAGGGACTCCAGCTTGTCCTGCCCCCTCTAAACTTCCAGCGCTGTGGCCTTGGGCAAGTCGCACACCCCCTCTGAGCCTCAAACTATTTTGCTGGGAAACAGGAATCACCGCGTGGGGGCTGTCTTGGGGAGAGAATGAGGTTGGCCCCCAAGAACGGCCAGGCCTTACGGTGGGCCTAGTGGGCAGAGCAGGTGCCACCCACTGAATGGCAGTTGCCATCATTATTAATATAAATAAAAGTGAGGGCACAAAGACAATTCCACCATGCACTTATGCTCTTTAGGGTCCCCCGTGACAGAACTGTGAACATTCAGCCTCATCACTCAATGGGTATTTCTTGTTTTGGTTTGGTTTGGTTTGGTAGTTCAGGGTGACCTTGAACTAACTCTGTAATTCAGATAGCCTCAAACACAGCAACCCTCCTGACTCAGCCTCCTAAGTGCTAGGATCACAGGTATGTGCCACCACATCTGGCACTGATGGATTTATTTTTCACCAACGTTTAGCAGTTGTTCTCACTGATTAACTCATTGTTCACACGCAAGCCTTCACAGACTCTCACGGACCCAACTCCTCTTCTACCCCTTCTTTCCTGGAGCCAAGAGCCAGACCCAGCAAGTGCTTCCCGGGCCCTGGCCCAGTGCAAGAGGCTTCCCACACTTCCTCCCATTTCCTGTCTCTCCTGGGGAAGGCAGTGAATGTGAGTCCCCATGTTGCACGTGAGGCTGGAGAGCTAAGTGCCCTTGTGTGGGTGTGGCTCCCTCCACACTGGCCTGGCACCCTGCCCAGGGCTCAGGGGCTGTCAGGAAAAGGCTGGGGACGTGATCGCCACTGGCACAGGACCCACGAGAGGTTAGGCATTGACCCAGGTCACCTGTCTGGGGTTAGGAAGGCCACCTCTGACGGCAAGGACCTTACTCCATCATTGTTTTTAAAGAGACCCAGATCCTGAAAGACGTTTTGAGGCTTAATAGTAAACCACGAGACACTCCTGTTTAGGGCATCACAGTGACAAAAGCCGTTCTGATTCCTGAGTAGAGTCTGCTCATCTGCTTCCCACAACCAAATCCTGCAGGACATATGCATACGTGTGTACTTGTGTGTGCATGCATGTGTGTGCATGCGTGTGTGTGTGCATGCGTATTCTGGTCATCCACACAGAGCACAGGGCGTGCGTGCCGGGGACACCAGCAGGTGGGTGGCCCCTCTGTGCCCACCCCCGCCCGGGGCCGCTTACTTCCTCGTCTTTCTCTGCACCCACGCCAGCAGCGTCTTGATGGCCTTCCGCTGGTCCTTCATGGCGATGGCCACATTGCTCTCTGCAGTGGGGGTGGGTGGGTAGGACGAGTCCGAGTCTGTGCCCCCAGAGCCCGGCGACAGGCTGGAGGATGGGGAGTTCCTGCTCAGGTTGCCCGTGAGCTCCTTGATCTGGAAGGAACAGGGCACTCTGGAGGCCGGCAGCACACACAGCCATGCGGCAAGAGGCTCCGCCGTCTGACGAGGGCCGCCGAGCCCTGGCTGGGGACCAGGTCACACAGGAGGGAGACAGCCCCGTGTGACAGCAGGGAGCCACACACAGGGGGTGCTCTTCCTGCCCCCACTCACCCGCCCCCTTTCCCTCGCTGCCTGCCATTCCCACAGTGCATCACGCTCCTCCAAGCCCCACTGGCCCTGTTCTCCTTTCTGCCATCACTGAACACCCATCACGGGGACGCTTGTGAGAAATGCAGACTCCAAGCCTAGACCTGCAGGTGCATTGGGAATCTGCGTGTCAACACTCTTCCCAGAGGATTCTTATGTATATTAAGAGTGAGAAGCAGTGGTCTAGCAGACTCCTATTCATCCTTCAAATCCCAGCTCTGATCACTTCCTCCAGGGAGTTTTCCTTAGTCCTCTTACTCTTTCTGCAGTAACTACCCCTTGTCCACCTGTCTGAGACCTTAGAGGATTATAAGGACTGGGAATGAAGACTCGCATCTCCCTTGATCTGGACACAGGCTGTTCTGCTGGTGCTAAGCAGAGATGGTTAAGGTGTGGTACAGAAGGGAAGCGATGTTACCTGGAAGAAGAGGATGATGTTCCATATCAGCCCGAGCACCAGCGAGGGGTTGCCGTCTGCTATTTCCGCTGCATCGATGCTAACTAGTTTTACCTGGAGAGAAGCATTTTGTGTATTTAAGAGACTTTCCGGGAACATGGGTCTAGTTTATTTCTTGTGTTATTTCTGTGCACCTGTCTCTCTTACCCATTGTGTGCCACCTGACACTGCCCGGGGCCACTTCTCCGGGACCCACAGCAAGCCAATGTGCATTTCATGAACACATACGTGGTGCTCACCGTGCGCAGACATCACCCTGCGCTCCCGCAGGTGCTAACTCAGGGTATCCTCACAGCACTCTGCAGCGTGGGGATTTCTGCTCTCCCTTCAGCTCAGGACATTTCAGAGAGGTTAAATATCACATGCCCAGGGCCACACAGCTCCTGAACTTCCGCTTGTGTCTTCCAAGGAAAGACTGCATGGCCCAGAGGTCAGCCTGCGCATCGCACTGAGGCCATCAGATCTCCAGATTTCCACGCCCTGGACAAACACAGGCTGGCATCTGTGTGCCATTGCAGGCTGCTGACTGGCAAGCCTGCATTACAAGACACCCTACTGCACAGCTCCACTGGGCCTGCGGTGGATGCTCTGTGGGACGACCCACTTACTTAACTGAACAGAGTTCTGACCATAGGGTGGTGCTCCTGCGGAATCCCTAAGGCCAAGTGTGGCCCTGGGCCAGCCACGGGAACTCATGTGAAATGCACTTTAGCTCCTGATCTAGCTGGAATTAGAGGATTACTGTTCCAAGCCTTCATTTCACTGCATAAACATCTCGGCAGGGCTCAGGGCTCTCAGCAAGCCTCCCTGGAAAGGAGGAAGAAGGCCAGAGGGCAAGGAAGGCTTTGCAGGTCACCTGGGTCCCAGGCACCTCTCGCTGCTGAACAGCTCTGCAGAGAGAACAGACCACCCTTCCAGGGGAGAGAGGGCAAGCAGGGAACCCCACCCAACAGTCAGCCTGGGACACTGGCGAAGATAAAACAGGAGGTGAACATTTCATCCAAAGTCTTTTTATTCCTCATCTGCCTTTCCTTCCCTTTGCACCCTGGCTTTCTGAACTGGTTGACTCCGGTCTCTGATCCTATCAGCCTGTCCCAGGTGTCTGACAACACCAATCATGAGACAGGGCTTCCCAAATCAAGGGAGACATCCAGGCTCCCTGGGTGAAGTCTGTTTTGGGGGCTGACGCCAAGAATATAATTCAGACAATGCAGATGGGGGCCAGGAAGGAAGTTGTCGGTACTGTGAACAACACAGTCGATCAAATTCAGGTCCAGCACATCATCCACATGCGTCACAAGCACTCGTCCCATGTGACAAATCACTTGCGAAACCCCAGCTTTGACAGCTCCCCGTTCCTGTGGCTTAGGGAACACGTTCCGGCCCAGGGATCAAAGCAGGTAGCTGCTACCATCACCCTTGTCTTCCCTCTGCACGGGGGAAGCCCAAATGACAAGGGCCAACCATGGCCCCGTGCTGAGGCTCCAGAGGAGCTGGGCGGGCATCCCTTGGGTGTGACAGTGTCCATCTCAAGAGAGGGCAAGGTGAGGGCTGGGCGGGCAGCAGCTGGCTCCCAGTTAAGACGAGAAAGTGCACTGCTGGGCTGAGGGAAGGTGCGACTGCAGGAGGCCCACGCCCTAGGAGAGGACCCCACAGACCTTCCCCTGGGTGACGACTGCTTTTCCTTTCTGCTGGGAGCTGGCATTCTAACAGCTGGACTTGCCAAGAGCTTCGTGGCAATCACCCTTGACTTCCTCCTCCTAACTCAGCTGGATTTGCAGCTGGAACCTCATGGACCAATTGGTTTATGAGCTGACTCTTCCTCCCCTCTGGGCGTTAACCAAGGGTTCTTCAGGATAAACATTCTCCTGTGGAGCAATGGCTGCCACCTGCAATTTGTTCTTTCGATGCCTGTAACGTGCCCATTTTATAGGTAAGGGGGCCAAGGCTCAGGTGAATGACCGCCGGTCCTGCGAGCCAGCCCATCTTGCTCTGTGATGTGCCCTTGTGAGGAAAGTGAGGGGCTCACCCGCAGCCCCAGCACCTGCAGCACGCAGATCCATCACTGAGTCTGGGCACCGCTCCTGTCCTCCAGGGCCACTGAGACCTGTTCTTCCTGGAGCTGGGACAGCCAGACAGGAAGACACCAAAGAGGGCCCCTCTAAGCCTTCTGGAGATTCTGGGACTGGAACAGAGAAGATGGTACCCGAAAGGCCTGCTTCCGTCTCCGTCCCACGGCCTCGTCATTCCACTGTGCAGTTCATGTGTCCACCCTGCCTGGCTCTCCAGGACTCCGGGTCCCGAGGCTGACAGGCAGCCACACCTGGGCATTTCTAGACTCTGAAACACCGAGCAAAGGGAGAGCAGAAGCAATTTTGACGGTCTGCTGTAGACAGTCTAGGAAAGATGTCCGCCCGGATTACAGAAGCCAGGCCTTCCCAAGCCGTGGCTCTGTTCTTCCTCTTCACACTCGTGTGCACAGACTTGTCCCCACCTGCAGCAGCCGCCCAGCCCAGCCTGCCAGGCCCAGCGGAGTGTTTTTGTTCCTGCAGGATCATTGCTCACCATCCTGGCCCGGAGGATGTGCAGCACGCTGTCCATGGGAGGTCGCTGTTGAAGCATCTTGAAGGCTTGGCTGTGTTTCTAAGGCACAGTCCCAGGCCCACGGAAGACACCTAGCAGGTGACCCAAGCTGCTGAACACAAGCTTTAACTGACCCGGTCACCTGGCACACGTGGGAGTCAGCCCGCCTGTGCATGCCAGACCCCACGGTGTGGTGGCCGATGCAGCAGGAGTGCGCTTCTAAGCCAGCCGTGTGGCAAGATGAACGAGGAGTCCCCCACTGGGCTGCCTGAAGACCCCATGCTGTCCTAAAGGCAATGGTCCCTGGGACTCAGCACAGATGCTGCCACGAGGACAGTGCTTCTCGGGATGCTGAGAGGTGGAGGGGAGCAGGCGGTGAGACCCCAGCTGAGGGGGCTCTCCGGGCAGCACTGGCTCAGGCTGCACACTGTGGCGTCTGCACCAGCTTGCCAAGGTGGACTTGGCTTCTGCCACCTCTACTTACAGAGCTCTGCAGTCTGGATGAGAATGCAGATGCCAAGGCTGGAAGCCAGAGCGGGCAGGCTCTCAGCACTGGGCTGGTCCACGCTCCAGCAGAGGTTGTTGGTATAAGTCCTGCTCCAGAAAGGGCACCTTTCCATGCATACAGGGAACGCTTCTTTTTCAACAGTTTCACTGCCAAGTAACTGAGGTTCCGTTCAACCTGCCCATTCAGTGGTTTCCATATAGAGCATGCCCACACAGACATGGGCAGGCTTTCATCACCTCTGAAGGAAGCTCTGTACCCTCTGGCTCATGTCTTTCTTGGCACTCAGCTGCCACTCACCTGCTTTCTGTGTCTCGAAATTTCCCTGTCTTAGGTGTTCTGTATGAGCAGAACCCTATAACGTGTGGTTTGGGGGTTGTTGTGCTTGTTTTTGAGGTGGTGTCTTGTTGTGTAGTCAGACTCACTATGTAGACCAAGGTAGCCCTGAACTCACAGCAATTCTCCTGCCTCAGCCTCCCAAATGCCGAGTTTACAGGCATGTGCCACCATGCTCTCTTTGCATCAGCCCTTCTTCGCTTGGCAGAATATAAACGTGGCTCATCCCTGACGTAGTATCTGTCAGGGTCCCCTTTACTTCAGGGCCAAGTAATACTCCATGCTGTCAAGAGAACACATTTTGTTCAACCATTGGTTGGTTAATGGGCTTCTGGGTTGATCCAACATTGTGGTGACAATGAACAGCGCACTCCTGGGTTCCGCTCCCAGCTCTGGGCCTGCATTCTCCAGTCTTTGAGGTCATCTGTGAACAACTTGGCACCCTTGCACCAAATTCCTTTCCTGCTGAAATCAGCCAGCACCAGCTCCCAGCCTGAATGACACACACTTCGGGAGAAAGTTTCATGGTGAGTGCAGAGGCATCAGGCCAGCAGGAGACTTTTAACCCAGATTTATTGCTGTCTAATGAAAAGGGAGACTGGGAATTCCACCCCCAGGCCGTGGCCTCCCATCTGGGAAGGACACAAAGCAGACCTCCAAACAGCATAGAAAGCAAAGACGTGCAGACAGTCCTGTGGGGGAGGGGAGGACACCGAAATGCTTCCAGGGCACGGGAAGCGCATTTCCTAAATTGCAAGAAAAAGTTTTACACCCCGCATCTTATTTCACTCTTATTCCAAGATCTGAAAAGAGAAAGGTCAACTAATTCCAAAGATCGAGAGCTGGTCAGTGGCTCCAGCCCCTCCAGGACTGACCAGGTCTGGAGTTCTAATCCTGATGGATTAGAGGTGGGCTGGCTCCCCAGTGGGTGGATTCTCTGAGTTATTTCTGGACCATCTAAGAGCTAGATGCCCTTTCCACCTTCCTGCTGGGATCGGCACTAAATTCTAAACTCGTCCTCCTCCTCCCAGAGAAGCTCGTTACCAGATGGGCCCCCGACACTTACGTTGCTATCTTCCAGAAATGTAAGTGCTTTTGCTATGTTGTTCAATCGAAAAATCCGATGCGAGGAGGATTTGTACTCATGCAGCTGAAAAAAAAAACAAAACAAGAAAAAACAGAACAGGAGAAGCCAGGCTGAGCCCACGCAGGCACTTTGGAAGCCCCAAGGGTGAGGTGGCTGTGTTTTTCCTTGGGTCCATCCTTTCCACATCACTTTCTGGACAAAGTGAGGGGCTGGTGGCTAAAACCCAGGGGCCCTCAGAGGCCCCCTTATTTACAGTACCCGGGACTTAACTCATAGCATTGGTGAATGGGGGGACTAAGTGGGTTCCCCAGGGACAAATCTGTCCAATTTTTTGCTCCAGCCAAGCTCCTGGCTTCTTAGACGCCCGCTTCTCCAGGGCCCTGTGGATTGTGGTCTCCCCACCGGCCCACAGCGCTCGTCAGGGCTGCGAGCATCGGCTGTCCACATCACTGCTCAGCTGCTAAATCACCCGGGGCCTCCCTCGGGGCGGCAGATGTTTCTGGGTTTTGGCCAAGAGCTTTGTGCACAGCTACCTCAGGTTGAGGGGAGTGGGGGCTGAGGAAGGAAGTGAAACTTCTGACAAAGTTAGCTTTGCACGCTCACGTGCCTGGAGAAAACTCCCCTTACAGGTAAGTCCATCAGCCTCCACTGGGCAGGACCCAGCTGGCAGGGAAGTGGAGGCTTGCTCTTGACTGGGCTGCAGAATTGAAGGCTCCCAACATATGCCAAGGCCAGGGAGAGGCTGCTCCCCTAGTCTCTGGCAACAGAGCAGGGATCCCCGAGTTGCCAGGCACAGAACAAGGTACCAGGACACATTTTTTTCAGGGGACATTGCTGGCTCCTTCTGACCTGCTAGGAAACCCAATGCTGTTTTATTGAGGCAATGGGTTACCCTTCCCTAGAACTCCTCTCCCAATTTGCGCAGGTTCTTCCCAGAGTGCCTGACGGGCTTGGCAGAAACGATGGGAGGGAGGGTGATGAGATCAGATCTGAGAACAGAAGTGGGGCTCTTGAGGCTCCACGGCTGAAACAGATCCCTCTGGGTAGACACAATGGGTCACCAAGCCCAGACCACACCGTCGGGTCTAGAATAGGATTCTCAACCTGGACACCACTGGCATTTGGGATGGGATCAGTCTGTCCCTGAATGTGTGACCACGAGTGGGACATTTCTGGATGCCATGTCAAAGGATGCTAATGGCAGTAAGCGGTTAGAGTCTGTACTCTGCAATGCACAGGCTGACTCCCCACAGGCAAAGAACTACCTGACCCGAAATGTCAGCAGTGCCGAGACAGAACCTCAGGAGAAAAGGACCAATCTACGTGTAGCAGATATTTGCATCATTGTGAGGTTTGGCTCCCATCTAAAGTGGAGCAAATGTCAGCACCATAGCTTGTGTAATTCAACTTCCTTGATACCTAAAGAAGGTTCTAGAAGCCTACACTGGTTGAGATAGTCTCAGGTCAGGTACTAGGATCTGGCTGCCAAAAGTCCTTTGTCTTCAGTCTTTCTGATTCTTAGTGATCGTACCAGTTAATATGATGAGAGGCTAGTTAAACTTTAATTTTCTGGTTTCCATTTTTGCCTATCATAGGCACCTCAAAAACACTGGGCATTTTTCTTAATCACCAAATTATATTTGCTTTTAAAAAAAGATACTGCTCAGTTACATGCATGAATCAGTCTGAGTCACTGACAAAGGAATGTCAGCCTTCAATGGTTCCTGTCACAGGAACCCCATCTGTGTGCATGGGCATGCAGATACCTACTCTTACGGTATGGTTCTTAAATGGTCCCAGGGGCCCATGTGCTACAGGCTTGACTGCCAGCCTATGCAAGGATTAGGAGGTGGCAGAACCCTCAGGAAGTAAAGCCCGGTAGAAGGCAGTGACGTCATTGGCAGGGGGTGTGACCCTGAAGGGAATATTGGAGACCTGACCCTTCCACCCCTCTCTCATTTCGCTTCCTGGGCCCACGAGATGAGCAGTGACATTGCCACATGTGCCTTCATGATGATCCGGCTCTTTACAGCCCAAAGTCATGGGGCCCAGCAGCCACGGACAGCAACTTCTACAACTAGGGGTCAAGATAAGCCTTTCTTCCTTCAAGTTGTTTGTCTCGGGTATTTTGTCACAGAGACAGGAAACCAGGATACCTTCAGCAGTGATTTCCTTTGCATACTGTTTTTCCCCGATCCCTGCAAGATGTACTTACCAGATTCCGCCCAGACAGGACTTCTAACAAAGCCATTAGGATTTTGCCATCTTGTATGTCAACGAACAGGTCTGTAACTTCTAGAGGTGGGTCACACTGTGGGAGAGGAAGAAAGGAGTGTGATCTGTGTAATTCACAAAACTACGTCGGAGATGCACTCTCGATGCAGGAGGAAACTTCCAGACACCACTGTCTGTCAATAGGAAGCCCCTCAGAAGAGGCAGGAAGCCTGTCTTCTGGACATGATACCCATGCATGGCCACTTGATAGGTGAGCTGGGCAGAAGATTCAGCCACAGTGGGATAACTGAGTAAGTGACCTTTAGCTCTCAGACCCCATGATTAGATTCACAGCCCTGTTTCTGCTGAAGGGGAAAAGAAGTGGTATATCCTGATAGCCTCCACCACTGGGCAAAATAATTCTAGTAGGATTCACAGGAAGTTATCTAGTGGAAGTCCTTCATTTCACATTTGGGGAAACTGAGTCTCCAAGCAGCTAGGTAAGGGTTCCAGCATTTGGTCAGGTAGCTTTTCAGTATAGTACCAGCTCCTGGATAGGGCCCCACTACCTGAACACAGGTGTGCCCAGATCCACACTTCAGTGGCACAGCTAGTGGTCAGTTATAACACTCTAGGATTGGCCACTGGCAGGGTCCCCTCACCCCAGGCTCTGCAGACAACACCAGTTTGATCATCATTTCCCTAACACGGCATGATTGGGCTCAATGGAACCTTAGGGTGCAGGATCCAGATACAGCAATCTTCCTGAGCTCCCAGCCTGAGTGAAGACCCCCCCCCACTTTTGGAACTGGGGCTTTGGCTGGGTTAGAGCAGCTGGTGTGGAAGCTCTGACTGCTCCTGGGGATGGAAAACTGGCGTTCACAGAGAAGGCAGGACTTAGGGGTGCAGTGACCCGGGGCAGTGGCAGCCCTACCCAGCCAGAGACCTGGTGAAGAGAAAAATCTTGGAATCACAGTGCCTTGGCATCCAGCCACCTTCTCCTCCGGGAAAGTCTCCTTCCGCCCCCGGCAGCCTCGGAGGGCCCATGTTTTATTTTTTATTAAGGAAGGTGGCATTTCCTTACACTTTATACGAGTCCCTGTGCCCCCAGTTAGTTAAAATACAGGGCGATTCCACCCACAGGTGCACAGAAAAGGGCTTTGCTTCAAGAGCAGCAGCGACTTTGAACTAAAAGGCAAACTGTTTTCTTTGCAAACTCCCGAAGCTGCACGGCACATTCCACCCCGGCGAGCAGCGTCAAGTTACCGAGGCTCTTACAAACCTCATTCCCGCTAATGCCAGGCAGAAAATGAGAGGCCCCGACAAAACAGCCCTGATGAATGGACTAACAAAATTTCCAGTTACCAGCCTGACCGTTCGGGCCTGACTCTGGACTCGGAGCCGAGCATAGTTTCCACTGGCTGCTCCTGCAGCGGCATCACACAGGGCCTGGCCGGGCGCCACAGGGCTGGACGCAGGAGAGGGATTGAAACGGCTCCAGGCAAAACACTGGAGCCAGCGTTCAGGGGATCGGTATGGCCGAATCAACAGCTCCCCCAGGGCTTTCTGCATGATCGAACTCCTTCGGTAAATTAGGGAACTTTTCCAGAAGCCCAGAGACTCAGTAAATATTCCTGACAGCCTTCAAATTGCAGTTAAGCCCAATTCACCAAGGAGTTCCTGGGTTTCCTTCCCATGAAAGGCTGTTCTTGAAAGTCTCAGGCTTGGAAACATGGCTGTTAATTTGGGCCTGTTTATTACGCATCAGCTTCAGGTGTTATCTGATTTATTTTCAGAGCTGGCGCTGCCCACCTGCCCCAGAGAAGGGGCAGCAGCCTGACTGAGGAGAAAACCCTGAAATGATAAATGCTAACAGAGGTTCACTTTGGGTGGTGGCTGAGTGTGGGGGATTTGCTATATGACCCTCTGTTCTTTTTTGTATTTATTTTTTAATTAAAAAAAGAAAGAAAGAAATACTCCACAGCTCTTTTTGGTCCCCCAGTAGGAATTTCCAGCCACCCTGACATACATCAGGCATTAATTTAGGACTTCAGTGAACTCGAGTTTAGGGACTGCCCCCCCTTAAAAAAATAACACTTCACTTTATGAGCAATGCCAAAAATGCACCAATAGGCAAACCCACCAGCAAGAGACTGATAACCCTTCGTGCACTATGTGAATTTGTCCACTCGAAGAGGTGGACATTGGTGAGTTAGGAGACAGTGCCACGCTAACCATTCTGCAGTGGGGGGAGCAGAGGGTCAGGTGCCTGCTCAGGAAACAGTCCAGCCTGAAGGTGGATCGTGTGAATCCAAATTCTCCCTAAAATCCCATCTATCTTTCTCCGCTTTCTAATCATCACAATGATTTCCTCTGAGAGCAGCCAACAGTAAGCCACACCTTTTAAAAGGAGAACAGGGACATAAGAGAAACCCCTGATCGCGGTGGGAACTGAGATGCTGGCTGGGTGTGGTTGGAGAACCAGAGAGGAGTGCTCCAAAAGAAAGAGGAGGCAAAGCTGGGGAAAGGAATCCTGACAGAGCAGCTTTCTCAAACAGAGAAGATTTATCTCTTGTCCTCCAGCCCCAGGATTCAGCCTTCCTTTTTTTTTTTTTTTTTTTTTTTTTGTCTTTTTCATTTTTACCGGTACCAGGGATCGAACTCACGACCGCCTGCTTACAAGGCAGGTGCTTATGCTGCTGAGCTAAATCCCCAGCCCCTAGGATTCAGCCTTCCGAGGAAGGGGGCTTTAGATTTCTGCTGGCTGCACCCGGCTTCTGCTCGGCACTGCTCTGCTCTCCTCTGCAGCTGCCTATTTCTTCGGGAGGTGGTTCGGCTGCTCTGGGATGGTGCAGGCAAAAGCAGCCTGCAGACAAAAAGCCACTCCAAGTGGCACGGCCAACAAGCAGAGAAAGTAAACCGGAGAGAACAGCCAAGGAGTTCAATGCACCAGGGAAGCCTCGAAGAGTTCAGGAAAGCTGTGCAATGGCCCAGGTGCCTCTGATTCCTTCCCCCAGCAGCAGGGAACAATCTGGGGTGTCCTGGGGATGGGAGGAGACCTGGCAGGTGGGGCGCACTGAGCAGGATGCCTGGCAGGTACTATTACCCATCAATAGCAGTGTTGCATGAGAAATAGGGGCCTGCTTTGCTGAGAGATGGCCAGAACCCTTGTGGAAATCAGCCAATGCCTACAAGTGCCTCTTAATAGAGCTTGCTGGGGACCCCAGGATATGATGGAAGGGTGTGAAGCACTGTGACCACCCTGCATGCAACTCTGAAGTGTGGGGTCCCTGTGGGTCCCCGTATAAAGACAGAAGCTCCCCTTTCTCAATATCTTGCTGATGTTCTCAGCAGCTTACTGTATCAGGTATGGGACCAGTGGAAAGAAAGGTATATAAATGCTCAAATGGCAATGGTACAACAAAAACCTTAGAGTCACCAGGCATGGTACTGTATACCTATAATCCCAGCACTCAGGAACTGAGTCAGGAGGATCCCTGGGAGTTTGAGCCAGGCTGGGCCACACAGTGAGTTCACAGCCAGCCTGAGCTGCTTAGTGCGATCATTTTGTCAAAAACCAAACACCAAACCACAAAAACAAAAAGCAGAGCTCCACACCATCCTAGGAGCTCCAGACTCAGTTATAGATACATCTATGTCTTAACTCATCCCCAATCCCACCACTCACCTTTTCAAGATGTAGATTTATCCATCGAGTAAAAGTCCTCTTCTGCACATTTTCTCTCTCAACTGAAAACACAGAAATGCCATGAGCTGTTAGCTAGGGGTGTTGGAGATGTAAAATCCTGCTCTCCCCTTCCCTGGGAGATACCGTGTAGATGGCAGATGGCCTTGGAGAGTCCCAGGTGAAAACAGAGAGAGCCCTTCCTAGCAGAGACAGGCGAGCTTCTGCAGCACTCTGAACCCTCTTCCCCGGCTCAGCCCCGGAGCCCTGGCAAACCCACGCACTCAGACACACAGAAGCGAAAGCCCTCTGTAGCCACAACAAGCTTTGGACACCTGACTATGCAGGTTAAGAAGCATGGCAGATGTGATGGGGGTGGCAGGGACACACACACACACACACACACACACACACACACACGCACATGCAGAAAACCTGGAGACAGCAGGGGCAAGTAGCTGCCAAGTGGCTGAGACAGGTCTCACAAGCTGGGACAGAGGGCAGGCAGGCTGAGGTGAGGCCAAGGGTTAGACATTAGGCTGGTGGCTCTTGGACGAGCACATGATACCTTGGGGCAGTCTCCCCCGCTACAGCAATGGGGACTCACCTAAGGACACCTGGGGTGGCACAGGCCATCCACTGCACAGTCCCTGGCATAATGGCTCTTTATTCCACCTTGGTAGCTAATTGTTTCTAAAATTGTTTCCCTGGATCTAGCCAGGGAAGTCTTTGTGTCTTCCAGGGTGGGAGAGTTCTGCAGGCACCAGCTATGGAGCCAGGGTGTGTGAAGGGACATGAACTAGGACCAGATTCCTTTGTCCAGGGGACAGCGTTCCCCAAAAGGGCTCTTCAGCTGACAGCTTTCACTGTGAAGGGCCCGTCATCCACCACCTGCCTCCGAGGCCATTTCTTTTAAACTTATTTTTTATTAGTACATGTTTGAGATACACAATGAATACATTCATTTCGGGGAGCTGGTACACATACATATTGCATTTTAATCCTTTTTCCTTTGTTTCCCTTCACCCCATCCCTACAGCCCCTTGTCATCCGCAAATGGCTGTCTCTCTGAGTCTGTAAAACCTGTGACAGCCCTGCCAAGTGGGTGAGAAAAGTGTGCTGGGAGGACACAGCGGCTTGCCCAGGGCACAGGCTACAGGGAGGCAGAGCTGGGCCACACCCAGGTCTGGGTTCCCACACCAGCCAGCACCCAGGAGACAGAAGACCTGGGTTTCAATCCCAGCTCTCAAGTTACTGCCCAGGCGCCCGCAGGAATGATCACGCTTTTAGCAAGAGGCAAGAGCATTTGCTGTGTGACCTGAGCCAACCTCAGCCCTGCTGTGCATTACTGAATTTGATCTACGACACAACCCCAGACAGACACCGTGAAGGCCTTCAGATGTGACAAATGGGGTCCTGGGAGATGTCACACTTGTTGGAGACTACACAATCAGCAGGGTTATCATCAGTATTTTGCAGATGAAGACACTGAGGAGGCAATACACGGCCAAGCAGGAGCGCTGGCTCCTGAGCATCTGCCCTCCTCTCTAAAGTTGGCGGTAGCGCTGTCCCAGGGTCCTTGAGGACCTGCACCTCACTCCTGCAGAGATCACAGTGCCCAGGTCTGCAAGCTGCCAGCCTCTCAGGAAGTGTCCCTGAGAGGGCCAAGCCAGACTTCTCCTAAATCATTGAGGTCTGGATTTCAACAAACCAGGAGAACATGTCACAGATGCCTGAAGCCATTTCACACTTCTTTAGCAATAAGAAAATGAGAGCCAATTTATCTCCTGTAGGAGGAAAGGGGAAAAGGCCGTGGTTTTCTGTAACAGTGACAGTGCCTTTTCCTCCTGGCCTCCGTAAATCACATTTTAATATCACACCTTTCAATCTTTTTAATCGAAAAGTCGGCAGACAGTAATTATCCTCATAACTGCTTTTCTGTCATTTCTTTCCTTCTCTGAAAGGCAAGGTCACTCACTGAGACAAGAAAGCGTCAAGATTAAAGATCTAATTCCAGGAAACTGCTCTGTAGGGGAAGGGGTGGGAGAAAGGAAGAGAAGGTGGTAGAAAGGGCAGGTGGCAGGAGGGCTCCGTGAGTCACAGGGTCTCAGGCTCTGGATGTCCCCACCTGAGATCTCCCTGCCTCTGCAGCAACAGATTTCGACAACTGTGATATTTTCCATGGTCTGGGGTCCCCACCTTCTGCTCCACACCTGCGAGGAACCTTTCACTGCTGCGAGTGACACAGCAGCAAGCGTCCCCAAGTGAGCGCCCTGGCCCACGGCTCTCTGCGCACAAACATCTGAATGCATCTCTCATCCTTCACCACGCAGAGGGGAAGGGCTGGGGCTCAGTGGTAGGCACATTTAAAATTTTAATAGCTACTTCCAAATTGCCCTCCCCAAAGGCTGGTCTAGTTTATATTTGCACCCCCACCTGTCTTTAAGCAACTTTATGGGGACTGTAAAGTATTTACACACACATTCAAACATGCAGGCTGGTTTCTCCATCTGGCCTCAGAGACAGCAAAGTATACAACCCCAAAATAGAAGTGCATTTAGTAAAAGCCTGTGAGAACCTGGTCAGACTGCTGCTTTAACGTCACTCAAGTGTGTGAATGTGGAGGTGGGTGGGTACCGGTCAGCTGCACATACCTTATCCACTCACCCATTCTTTCATCCATGTACCTACCCATCCATCCATTTATCCATCCATCCATCCATCCATCCATCCATCCATCCATTTATCCATCCATCCATCCATCCATCCATCCATCCATCCATCCATTTATCCATCCATCCATCCATTTATCCATCCATCTACCCATCCACCCATCCATCCATCCATCCATCCATCCACCCACCCATCCATCCACTTATCCATCCATCCACTTACCCATCCATCCATTTATCCACCCATTCATCTGTCTGTCCAATCATCCATCCATCCATCCATCCACCCATCCATCCATTTATCCAGCCATCCACCCATCCACCCTCAGCTAATATTTATGCAGTGATTATTGTATGCTGGGAACTATGCCAAGCTCTGTAGGCAAAATCAGCGACACAGAATTAAGCATTCCTGGAATCTGCACTCCAAGAATTCACAGCCAAGCAGGAGAGAGAAAACATGGATGCTGCAGGGCACATGTGCAAGGAGAAACAAATTGCAAGCGGGGCAGGTGCTATGGAGAGGAGGAGGGGCCTTTAGGCTGCACAGTTGCTCTTCCAGGGCCCTAGGAGGGTCCCCAGGAGATGGCGACACTGTGGGTCCTAAAAACAAAGACCGTGGATTCAAATCCTACCCAGAGTGAGCAACAACTTCTGGGCAAACCCGTACACACATCGGCTTTGACACAGAAGAGGTGACAGGAGGGTGCCTAGGGGCGATGGGGCCAAACCACGTGGAACAGACAAGTCTAGGACTGAAATGGTATGAAGAACCGATTTCCAACACCAAGAAAAGGGGTGCATCGCTCAATATACTGGAGACAGAGCACGACTGTGAGAACCCCGGGCTGCCCCGGCACATCTGTGTCACAGTCACACTGACCTTGGGCAAGTTCACACCTTTCAAAATACGCTTGTGGGGGCTGGGGATTTAGCTCAGCGGCATAGGCACCTGTCTTGCAAGCAGGCAGTGGTGAGTTCGATCCCAGGTACCGATAAAAATGAAAATGAAAAAGACAAAAAAAAAAAAAAATACACTTGCCTCGGTTTCCCCTGTCTCATAGCAAAGTTATGGAGATTACACACGATCACCCCAAAAACATCTCCCGCAGCTGCTCCCCCACCCAGTTTCCGGCCCTCAGGTTCACAAAGCACTCCTGGATCTTGGGGGGCAGTGTCTGGAGTCTGGACAGAGGGCCAGGGGTCTGGCCTGGCCTTCTCTGTTTCAAAACTCCCACCCCCACCCTGCAGACAGTCACCCTCGGCTGGCCAAGACTCCATAAACTTTATATAGCTTCCATAAAGCCAACGGCCCCTTTTTTCCATCACGTTGTAAAGGTGTAGGAAACCATTTCTCTGGATGGGTCTGGCCTTCTTGGAGAGTGTTTGTGGGGCCAGGGTGGCTTTACTAGGCAGCAATAGAGTAATAACCATGTTGTAAAATCACCATCCTGGCTCTAACTGGCCAGCCAGGGTGTCAGTGAGTCGGGGGGGGGGGTGGACCAGGTTCAGGATCCAGGGACAGGGGCTGAAGGGAGGGAGGCCCAGTGTCCTGGTTTGACGCCACCAGGCCAGACTCCCAGGTGCCGCTTCGGTCTAGTTTATATTTGCAGCCAGCCCTTGCATGGCTCACACCAGGGAGCCACGGAGAGAGAGCCACTAGCTCTGGAGCTGAAGCTGCCTCATGTACACTTGTCCTAACTCCACACTGCCCCAGACCTCCTTCCCATACAGTATTTCTTCCCCAACACTTCTGTTCCTCTCTGCCTAGCACAAAGCCTTGAGCATTTTTTTTTTTTTTTTTTTTTTTTTTTTTGTATTTTTACTGGTACCAGGGATCGAACTCACGACCACACGCTTGCAAGGCAGGCGCTTATGCTGCTGAGCTAAATCCCCAGCCCCAGCCTTGGCAGTTTTACTTGCTCTTAGAAGTGATATACACCCCATAATAAATAAGAACACAAGAACGCATAGAGGAAACGTCTTCTCTTGGAGTTTCAATCACACCCAGAGACAACCTACATGTACACACATGCGCACGTCTGCAGGTTCTCACACACGAAACCTCCATGTGATCAGAACTGACTCAGTTTCTAAAGCGCAGCCCACTGGTCATTAACATCAAGAGTTTCCAGGGTAACAGTTAAAATGCTACTTCCCAGGCTCCACCCAAGATCTAAAGACTCAAGCTCTCTGAGACAGAGGCCTGGGAAACTGCATTTACCCAGCGCGGCAGTCGGGGATGGCACGGTCTGAGAACAGTCTTTGCTCAATTTCTTGGTGACCTTTGGGCAGGGAAGAGAGGCAGAGGCAGCATAGCAGCCTGGGGCTGGCGGAAGAAGGGCCGCCTGGAGTCAGCCCTGGCCCCACTGTGGCCTCTGAAATGCGGACAA